ATATAAAAATAAAGGACTCTTGTCTCACATATTTCTTGGAAATTTTATTAAATGATAGTGGGGGAATTATTCTTGAATTATTGTCAATCCAAAGAGCAGCAAGAAATAATGTTATTTTGGAATTGTCCTAATTGGATGGGCAAGGGTTTCTTCTTCTTCTATGTACTGTATCTCTTGAGGATGCAGGCGATCATAGCTCTCCACAATTTCCTATCCTTCATAGCTCTTAATAAATTTTATCTTTTTGCTATCTTTCTTAAACCTTGTTCCACCATCCATTTACGCAAGCATACTCGGTAGGTTATGCATTGTTTATCTTTGCCTCTCTTGCCTTATGAATATTAAATTTTCTTAGTCCTCATCATTATGTGCCCTAGAAATTTCAACTGATATTAAGTATTAGTATCCTTTTTGTTTCCATTTTCTTTAAAACTTTGTCATTGCTCACATGTTCAATCCATTGCATCCTCAGCATCCTTCTGTTGGGTTTTACAATAAAAAAAGCAAGTCAAACAAGTAAAAAAATAAAAAAAATAAAGCATCATTCCTTGATGATTACCAAATATAATGATAGTGTACCAATAAAAATGTTGGGATAAAAACAATCAAGATAAGGATGTTCTTTGGAATAATTCTTAGAACAAAACCAAAGAAAATACCCTCCTCTCTTTCCTCTTCATATCACACTTCTCTTATCAAAGACTTTTTTTTTTGTTTTTATTTCAGTCTATTTTTTTCTCTTCAATTCCCATATTTGTCTCTTCTACAGTTACTGTGACCATCATCTCCCATCTTTTTGTTTCCCTCTCCCCACATTCCTCTGCCATCCTTCAGCTTTTCCTATGCCCAACTGTCTCCACCCTCTTAACATTTGCCTCTTTATTCATCTCCCTCTTCACACTTCTCTCAGGGCAAAAATACCTAATCAAGACTTTCCAATCCTTTTGAAGGCACTTCAAATTTGCTTGCTGCCTTTACAATACCAATTAGCCCAGTTGTTCCTGGTGGGGGTGGAAGATGTGGTCTTTAAGCAGCCTTTTATGGGTCCTACAGTAAGATCAGAGGGTTAATTTTGCATGTTAACAGATATTAGAGACATGTATACAAGTCAAAAAGAAAATGTAAAAAAGCAAAAAAAAAAGAGCTGGGTCTGACTACTTTTGTATTCATGGATTTAACATTGAACAGGGAAGAGTCCTGTTGACATGTTACTAGATGCTCCCTGGGAGAATGAAGAAGCACATTCTTTTAACATTTAACAAAGAGCGCACACATGGAGAGAATTTATACTGGTCAGATCATACTGGAGTGAATGAGAGAGAAAGAGAGAGATAGAAAGCTTTTCAAGACTTTGATGGGTTTTTTCTTGGGTTTTTCCAGGAAGAAAGAGGAACCAGGGAAATTATAGGTCATAGCTTAGTGGTAGAACATAAGTTTGCAGGTACTGCCATTGTTTAACTTTGGTGATCATATGTGAACCAATGTTTCAACATGATATGGCCATAAGCCAAAGATGTAGAATTGGTAAAAATTAATTTTTGCCAGTTAAGAATTTACAATTCATAAATTTTTCTAAATATATATTTATATTAGATATTTATAAACTCATGCTTTTATACATATATATATATATATATATATATATATATATAGGTAGTCACTGATGTAGAATTGGTGAAAATTAATTTTTGCCAGTTAAGAATTTACAATTCATAAATTTTTCTAAATATATATTTATATTAGATATTTATAAACTCATGCTTTTATACATATACATATATATATATATATATATATATATATATATATATATATATATATATATATATATATATATATGAAAAATGAATTAAGTCTGACAATTATTTAATATATATTCTGTTTATACAATATCTTTAATAGATACCATTTATTTAAGTCAATGCTACATTTTTTAAATAAACAGTATTAATTACATTCAGGCTTGTAAATGTAATTAATACTGTTTATTAAAAAAAATTGTATCTATTAAAAATAATGTATAAACAGAAAAAATATTATATAAGCTCTGTCTTTTAATAAACAGTATTTTTATTCAACTACATCTACCATCTTGAATATTTGAGAAATCTTGTCAGAAAAATATGTGTCCTTTGGTAGGATTTGAACCTGCATCCTCTATAGGGAACTGTCATTGTATCTGATGTGCCTAACCACTCAGCTACATTGGATTTTATGATCAAACAAATCCCAAATAGTACCTTTTGAACACACACTCACTGCTGATTCTCAAAACATCTATATCTGCTCTGTTTTGTATCTTAATGTAAACAAAGACAATCTATTTTAGAAAATGGTTTAAATCCAACATTTTTATTTTTATTTTATTTTGTTTAAACGTTATTTTTGATGGATACTCATATTTAAGTAGAAAATTTGTTTTTTAATTAAACAGTATTTTTTATCCAACAACATCTATCAGCCTTCATATTCAAGAGATGAGATAATGACATATATATATATATATATATATATATATATATATATAACAAATAATAAAAAGAAACTACAAGAATATAAAAATATATACAGATTATTATACAAATTTATATTTATAATTGAGTTTACAGTCCTTTTCAATAGCTTAATTGTGTGACCACCCACAAATAAACCCAAGCATCCACATCCATCCATGATGTAAGTTGAGAAAAACAGTGAAACAGTGAAATATAAGTATCCTTTATATATATATATATATATATATATATATATATATATATATATATATATATTATTAAAAAAAAAAATTTGTGTTTTCAGATCTAAAAAAGGATTGTTAATCACTGTAGGGCTATTTACTTCTAACACATTTCTTTCAGTTGCAACTTCCACAATAATTGACTAAATTAGATCAAATTAGAGGTGTTAATAAAAATTACTGTAGAAAAATTTTTATAGGAATTTGTCAGCTCCATTTCTAATTCTATGTTTTAATATAATCACAGTAATATTCTATGATGAGATGCTTTATAGTGTAAAGAAAACTCCTGTTTCATTGCCACACTTATTTCTTCAAAAATTATCATAAAATCCCAAGAAAATCTGCGGTAAAAAATTACAAAGAAAAGGGTACTGTACTGTTATGTTATCCTAGTTCTTTTTTATGACAGTGAATGCTAGATAATCTACTCACTGATGAAGAAGAAATTTGAAGCAACAGAAATGTGATTCTACAGAAGGATGCTGAGAATATGTGAGCAATGATGAAATTTTAAAGAAAATGGAAACAAAAAGGACACTTGTACTTAAGAGAAACAAGGCAGCTGAAATTTCTAGAGCACATAATGAAGGAAGTGGGTTTGGAAAATTTGATACTCACATGACAGATTGAAGGCAAGAGAGAGTATAAACAGCACACAACATATATAATTAGTGTGTGTAAATGGATAGGGTTTAAGAGAGATAAAAAAGACCAAAATTACTAGTAGCTACAAAGGAAAATATGGAGAACCATGATTGCCAACATCCTGAAGGGGCATTGGCATATAGGAAAAGAAGAATAATTAGCGGCTCATAAGAAATCAGCAAGCCAAGTTCTAGTTCAGTTAAATTTTGTTACATTCACACTTTCATACAAATACTCTTGGTAACATCTGGTCTGGTGCTTCTGCTATATATCTAGAGATTCTTGATAAAATCCCTAAAAGAAACTGTAATTTTACTGGTCGTGATTTGGCATCTTGGCTTCAGTTGCTTTCAAATAGAAAAAGGTTTCTCAGCTTTGAAGATGACTTCACTGCAGCTTCAAAAGCAACAGTGTTTGAATTACCTTCCTTGATGGATGGCAGTATTCAATAGGTCTTTGGTATTGTGGGGCTGCTAGTTAGTCTCCCTCTCAATGATGCTCCAGCTATATGAAGCTATAGGGTAATATCATTGTGAAAATTCCCAGCTAGACCTTCCTGGATCATGTGGGATATTTATGTATGGTCACTGACACAATCTAATGCTTGACTAGTGTGTCCTGTAGCTTCCCTGTGCTTTTTCTATAAATATTTTCATGGTAATTGTCCAAATGAGTTTTCCTCTGTGGTACCTCAACTGCACAAATTTTAGTACAGTAATAGATTAGCAACTATGTCTCAATGTTGAAAATGACTAGTTGTAACTGCAAGTTCTATGATAACATTTTCTCCTCTCACACTTCCTTCTTCTGGAGATTTCTTCTGGCTTCCTCCTTTCTTGCTAACTATAATCTTCAAAATTTTAAATTCATTGACAATCATGATAATCTGTCTGTTGTCCTCTCCATTTCTATCACACACAGTAACTGTTTGCATCTTAGCAGGTATTATCCACTTGATTGAACTGAAACAATATTTTTTTTTAAAAAAGTATAAATCTTTTCTCTCCACAGATAGGGGTTAAATAGAAAAGCAGATGGACTCTTCAAACTTAGTTGGTAACCAGTCTAGGAGAAAGAAAACTTTGAATTCCAAACAATATGTAATGATTGTGAACCACATACTCTGCAGCTAACAAAACACTCAATGACTCTATGATTCCAATTGTAATCAATCTGATGGCTGAATGGATATATATATATATATATATATATATATATATATATATATATATATGATTCATACCTATATATCTCAATCTCTTTGTATCTATTTATCTCTGTCTCTTCATATATATTTATTTCCATCTCTCCATATCTATTCATCTATATATCTAGCTATCTATCTATTTCAGTCTCTTTATATCTATCTCAGTTTCTTATCTATCTATATATCTGAGTCACTTCATTATACTTCATTATCTCTCTCTTCATATATATTTGAGTCTATTCATATCTATCTCTCTTCATATGTATCTACCTATCTATTTCAATCTCTTCATATTTATCTATCAATCTATGTCTCTTCATATCTATCTACCTATATATATATATATATATATATATATATATATGAGTATCTTCATATCTATCTATCTATCTGAATCTCTTCATATCTATGTCTTTTCATATCTATCTCTGTATCTCAGTCTATTCATATCTATCTATCTATCTATTATTCTCAGTTGCTTCATATCTATCTATATGTGAGAAAGTAAATAAATGAATGTCTGTATCGAACATTCAATGAAAGTGATTTAATATTGATTTGTAGTTGATATTAGACAGAATGTCAATAATGTTTTCAGTTGCATCTTTGCTAAAAAAGAGCTTTCTTGAGGGGAGATAGGAAATTATTTCAAAATATTTTTCAGTGCTTATCCACATATATCAATAACTTATATATATATATATATATATATATATATATATATATATATAAAGTATAAATTCTTAAAGATTATAAAAAATAAAGATACAAATAAAATATATATGTGTGTGGAGGCAGTGCATGTGTGTTCATGTATCTGTATCCATGTTATGATTGTGTATGCATGAACCTATGATTGTATACATATATATATATATATATATATATATATATATATATATATATATATATATATATGTGTGTGTGTGTGTGTGTGTGTGTAAGTATAAATGTGTGTCTGAGAGAATACCATATATATATATATATATATATATATTTCCTAAAATATATATATACACACACACACACACACATATATATATATATATATATATATATATATATATATATATATATTAAAAAGTTCTCAACACAACCAAGAAGCCCTTCCAAAAATCATTCTGTTGTTCGTTCATTCATTTGCTTATATTTTACTCTTAGTACTACTAATATGTACTAATATTTGTATATTAGTACATACTTCAATAAATAGTGATGGTATGATTAGCTGCTTCCATACAGGAAACATTTGCCATCCATAGGAAATCTTAAGATATTATTGATAGTCTGAAGATGTGTACATGAAATAAGCTTTGGAGTAAAGGGATGAAAAATGAAAATACTTTTGATACACCCAAAGAATAATAATAATAATAATAATATACTGTTGTCATAAGAAATCTTGTGATATTGATTGTCTGAAGATGCGTACATAAAATAAGCTTTGGATTAAAGATTTTTATAAAAGGAAAAACCTTTGATACAGCATAATGTAATACTATTATTATTATTATTATATATTGGAGTCATAATCTTTAGATGTGTATATAAAATAAACTTTGAAGTATTGGTCTGCAAAAAATTAAAATACTTTTGATATACCCTATTAAAATTTACACTTTATTGAATATTTAGTGATATCAATATACAGTAACAGAATCAATTTAAATGCAAACAGGTATATGTTTATAGTTTTCATGCATTTACTAACAGGCACACAAGATTTTTCTCAAAGATATCACAGTGCCTATATATGTGTGTCTTTATGTGCAAATCAGAAGGTAGAAGGAGAAAGAAAAAAATTGCACAGGAGCAGGAGATCTTACAAGAAGAATGTTGATTATTTGTCCTATGTCATATGTTAAGCTGGGGTATAGATCCAAATCTTTTCAATGCCAAGAAAATATCTCTTAAAAAAATGTGTAAAATAAAAAAAAAAAAGAATTCAGCTGAAATTTTGGGGTCTTTTTGTGAGGTTGACACAAGTGATAATTTTTCTTCCAATTTTTTTTATTCTTTATTCCTCACTACCGACCCCAACTCATTTTTTATCAGTAGGGGGCAAGTTCAGGTTGGAAGTTTTTCAAGAAATATTGTTCTGTCAATGCCACAATTATATTTTACCTTGTTTCTCTCAGGTCCTGTGAATGATTCAGATTTTTATTTACTCTTTTTGTTTTTCCTTGCATTTTTCTTCATTCTTAATTCTTCCTTTCACCCTTATTCACATAAACTTCATTTTTCTAGAATTTTCTTTCTTTCTTCTATGTTTCTTCCATTTTTTTTTTCTTGCTGTCCATTTTTTAATATTTATTTTTTTCTGTTTTTCTGAATTCTTTAATGTTTTCATGGTAATCATTCTTGATTCAATATTTCTTTCTCTCTGATAATTCACTTCATTCTCCCTTTTCTTTTTTGTCTTTATCTTTGTTTAAGTCATCAATTTCTGACAATTCCAGTTTCCTCTGATCTTTCCTTTTTTCTTCTCCTTTTCTTCAAACTTTTCTTCCTTTCTACCATTTTCTCTTACATTCTCTTTTTATCTTCCTTTTTTTATATTTTTCTCAATTTTTCCCTTTTTTTCTTGCTGTCCATTTTTTACAATTTTTTTTTTTTGATTTTTCTGTATTCTTTAATGTTTTGTTGGTTACCATTCTCAATTCCATATTTCTTTCTCTCTGATAATTCACTTCATTCTTTATTTTTTTCATTTTCCTCTTTTTATTAGTCTTTTGTTTGTTTCTTTCTCTTTAATTCGTCACTTCTTTATTTTGTTTCTGTCTATCCCTTTGTTTTTAACAATCCCAGTTTCCTTCCTTTTTTCCTATTTTTCTTTCTTCCCCTTTTTTTCAACCTTTTCTTCCTTTCTCTTTTTCATTTTTCTCTTTCATTCTCTTGTTCATTTCCTTTTTATTTTTCTTCGCTTTTCTTCTCTTCTTTTTCTACCTTTCTCTTTTCTTTTCTTCCTTTTATTCATTCTTCATTGTCTTTTTATTTCTGCTTTTCTTTTTATTATTTAATTATTTTTCAATTTTTTATACAAAATTTACATTCTATGATAAGTTATAACAAAAAGAAAAAGTTAAAAAAAAAAAACAGACATGAGTAAAAGTCTAAAAAAAAAACAAATAAATAACCCTTTTGAACAAGGACTGAATAAAAAAAAAAATGTCTGCCCAAATGAGCAAGGCTTAAAATAATTGTGATCTTTAGCTCTGGAATACTTGCAAGTTATTCCCAAATAGGTCTGTGAAATATGGGAATCTATGGAGGGGGTCTCCCCATCAAGAAATGAATCTAAGATCAGGAATTGAAAGAAAGAATGGTAAAAAATGGAGGAGAATGGCGCTAGTTGTACATATAAGAATCTTGAAGAAGAATGGTCAGAGAAACAAGAGAAAAAAAAAAGCATTTAAGTTCATTCATCTCTGACAGTAGCAGTTGTGTGCCACAGCTGTCATCAAAGAAATAACAAAGAATAAATGGAACAAAAGAAGAATAAAGATGAGAATAAAAAGCATATAAAATATATGAATTATAAGGAAAGAAATAATACGAAGAAGAATGAGCAAGGGAAAAAGCCATGAAGTTAAAGAAATAAAAATCAACAACAAAGAAAAAGAAAGGAAGCATAGAAAAGGAGGTATAAATGATGAAGGGGAATATGAAAAAATGGACATAAAAGAATGAAGTGAAACAGAAAAAAATAGAGAAAGAGAGAAGAGGCATTGGGTTAGAATAAAAAATATTAATCAATTATTTCCTTTTTTTTTATTCTGAAACCTATTTCACAGCAATTTTTTGATTGTCTCCCTTTAATTCTCATCATTTATCTGTCAGTTTTCACTGAGCAGACTCTGGCTTAAGATAATTTATATTCAGAGGCCGAAAGCAACTGTTCTCAAATAAGTTACTTAAATAACTCATATTCAAAACTGGCAACACGTTTTCTATATTTGTTAAGCATTTTAAAGGTCAGAAAGTGGGGGGGGGCAATTTTGAAGTGATATCAAATAAGAAATTAATCTTACCTCCAAATGTTAAAAATGATAAAAGTTCTTTGTTTGTTTCTTTAAATGAATATGAAACTCTTCCCTTATTTTGTGAACTTTGAAATTCTGATATGTTTCTCTAAAAGAAAAGAAGTCTTCTAATGTTCTAATCAGAATAAGATCTGTTGTAGGCCGGTGTATGCATTGAGAGAAAAACACGTGTGTCGTCTGAAATACCCACAACAAACATGGAGGACTCAGGATGTGAGTCCATGTAAATAAATGATAAGAAATGACACAAACCAATATATATGTACAAACAAATGATAATGTATCAATAACAAAGGTATACAAGCAACAAGACAATAATGTGTCTATCAAATGAATATGAAAACCTTTTTGGTTCAAAGTATGTGTAGTGAGTGAATGTGTATATGTACATGTGTGTGTGTCTATATATCTATTGTTCATGCATTTCCAAAAGGGAATGCATTCTCCACAAGATATTACATGTCGATGAATAAGCGAATAAGTTGAGAAGAAAGCAAGAAAAAATAACTCCGAGTATTGATAGTCTGGAGAGCATCCCCTAGGAGCAGTTTCGAAAATTAGGAGGAGTTAACCCAACAGATCTTACTCCAAGAATTTATTAAGTAGAATCAGTTATAATTTAATATTTTGAAGTTCACTGTCTATAAGAGTGAAAAATGTATAGGGAATGGCTTAAACAGCAATGATGTGGCTCTGCAATATCATTGTTAAGTAAAAGTGAATTTGAGAAGATTCTGCTACTGTTTCTTTCATCCCCACGCAGTTACAGCAAAAATGATATTAAGTAACAATTAATAAACAACCACCAATTAGCATTTTCAAAAAGAAATGCCAAGATAAAGAAAACATTATAAACAATGATAATATAAGTAGTTTCCTTATAAGGAAACATTTGATATTGACTGAGCAGCCAGTACTACTTTCAGTTGAATTCATAAAATCTTTGCCTTAAAATAATTCTTCAAGAAAATAGGTTTCTCAAGTCCAATAACTGTTATTGCTCTTTCCACTATTGGTAAGGACTTCTTTCCTAACTTTTTATTTAAGTATTGTAGAAGGTAACCATTTATTTAAGTAGTGTAGAAGGTATGGTGGACTATTGAATAGTGACTCAGAGAGCCAAGTTTGAATTCCAGTTGAATTTATTACATTCACTTAAGTACTAATACCTTTGGGAAAGTTATGAATGTTCTTCTTCTCCCACCAGCTATTGGTAAATAGCAGGACAAACCAGGTTCTATAGCCTTAGATGATCTACCACAGAAAGAAATGACAACCTACTGCTGGGAAAAATCTGGCTCGTCTGTCATGTATCAAAAGATGCATGATCATCTAAGCGTGTATCACGCATGGCACATAACTGACAACTGAGAAGGTCAACATTATATCATTATTTTCTCTTTCAGGTACATTTGATATCCATTTCAGTTGTTGCTGCTGTTGGTAGTCTTCAAGTTATGTGGTTTCTGTTATTTGGTACAGTTCTCTGTTTGGGATTATGTAGCACCAGTCCACAAGCTTCAAAGAAATGTGGTCTTCATCAAGATCCACAACCTTCACTCACACAAAGCCATTTTTAACCATTGATCTTAGAGAGTAGTTATATATAAATGACAGTTTAGATATTTTTGAATGGGTTTGGTGACATCCATATGAAAGTCTTGATCTGATGAGGCTATTTAAGAAGGTTCATGGTTTGGTTTTGTACCAATTTGCGATGTTGGGCAAAACTACCTCTCATGTGGCCTGTTCTATATTCAATTTCCTTATCTCCTAGACTAAATATGTTGCAAGTGAATCATATGCCAAGGTATTTGAAGTGTTTTGCATTTACTAATAGTAAATGCAAATTAAATTTATCTACATATACTCAAGTTGATATATTTAGTTTTTACATATGGAAAATAAATGTGCACAAATGAAGTTTTGTTGCAAAAGTTTTATGACAAAAATACATCAAAGACTGTAATACAAATGCTTGAACATCTTAGGAAATGCCAAATAGAAAAGAAAAGTGTTGTTAATAAACTTAGTGGATAGATATATACTTTAAAGTCAATAAAGGAACAAAATGCTTGGATCTTAAATGTTCTGTTATGTTTATGATAAAGGATGATGTATTGTTTTTGAAGAATATTAAAATGTCATACTGACATTCAAATACTGACTGACTTATGAAGTTCAGAATTAATTATTTATAGTTTTTAAGAAGTTCCAGAAACAACTGCTTTTGGAGTCAGTTTTTCTTATTTTTATTGGCTGGAAAATATAATTGGTTTGTATGGATTGGTCCGATTTTATTTTATGGTTGATATCCAATATTTATTTTGCTCTTTGCTCCTATTTATTTTAAAAAGCAATTTTGAGTACCTCATCTATAGTGTTATGATAGAAACTATTTTTTGGCTCATTTATAGTTACAAGGTGAACACTATTTTAGGGTCTCATTTGTATTGTTGTTACATTGCCCCACATGTTGCTGATGCTATTCTCTAATGGATGTGCAGTACTAATTAACTAATATACTTTTTTTCAAGAGTGATTAGTATAAGTTTCATATTGTCTACTATGTCATACAAACTAGTATATCATACGCATCCACAATTTAGCAAGTAGCAAATATTTTTCAAAGATATGCAATGAGTTATTATTATTATTATACCATGAGTTAATTAGACTAATATTCTCATCTTTGTTGTCTTTATCTCTTCATTTGAGCCAGTGCATTCTTTGGCCTTCCTCATTGCCTGAAATTTACTGATAAGTTATCATCTTAAATGGTTATTCAGGCTAATATGCTCATCCTTATTGGTTTTATTACTCTATTAGCATAGTAATCTTAAGTACCAAATACAGAGGGATTGGGGGGATATTTTTCTCAAATGTAATTAACAAAGGGCAGTCTAATAAAAGAGAAGGTCAGATAATCATTCAAAGGGTAGAAAATTTAGACTTTCAGTAAAGAGGAATTTTTTTGAAAAAGCATTAAATTTAGCAAAGAACGAAACATAGTTATTCTTGTACATTATTTTTTAAACAATACAATCATGAAAGCGTGCATGTAAAAACTTCAACCAACTCTAATTATTACTGTTTCCTGATTGAGCTCTGGGAAAAAGAGAAAAATTTAATAAACAGGACAGTGTTAATAACCTTTGTGTGGGGAGCTGAAAATTTCCACAAAAAAATATAAACTTTCAAAATTTTTTAAATAAAAAAAGAATATGGAAAATTTTGCACATATATATATATATATATATATATATATATATATATATATATATATATATATACACACACAAAATTTTCCTTGCTTTACTCCCTCTTATTCCTAAATACTCTCTCCCATTAGTATTTACTGTCTTGTTTAAAATGAATCACTCCAAATTGTTAATATTTACTCCTTGTTCATATTTACTCCTCCTTGTTCATATTTACTCACTCTGATTCATAATTACTCAATGCCTCTTATTAATATTTACTTCCTCTCATTTATGTTTCCTCCCTCTTGTTCATAATTACTCATTCTTTCTCATTAATAGTCACTCACATTTGTTCATATTTGCTCCTTCCCTCATATTAATATTTACTCCTGCAAATTCATAATTACTTACTTTCTCTTTTATATATTTACTCCCTAATTACTCTCTCTCCCTCACATGAATATTTACTTCTCCAGATTCATAATGACTCACTTTCATTCATATTTACTCCCTCTTGTTCATAATTATTCACTCATTCTTATTAATATTTTACCCCTTCTTATTCATAATTACTAATTATTTTCTCATTAATATTTACTGCCTCTTGTTCATAGTTACTCACACCTCTTGTTTATATATACTCCTTCAAGTTTATAATTACCCATGCCTTCTTGTTATTTTTTGCTCCCTCTAGTTTACAGTTCCTCATTTTCATTCTTTGACTTCATATTACTATCCTGTCTTTCTTTGTTTCTCTCTCTAACTTTTCTTTTT